GCCCAGGTGCCCCTAGCCTCTCGCTAGGCCCGGCCATTCGGACGCGCCGCCGCGGTTGTCGCGCCACAGCGGAGAAGCACTTTGCTGAAAGGCTTGCTTCCTTTTAGCGAACAGCTCCTTCAAAGTAGTAGTGCGAATTTTCCGCTTCCAATGGGCCCCGCTGGTGACGAACCGACAATACACACCCATACCAGTAGGGGGGTCGGAGAGGGCTATGGGTACGTGTTGTCGGATGGGGGTCCCCGCTCGAACGGGAGCGCTCCCCAGGGTCCGGCAACCCGCACCCATACCCATAGCGAGTCCTCCTCCCAACGACCGCCCCTGTGGGTATGGGTGTGTGTTGTTCGTTCGTCACCTGGGGCCTCTTGAGCGGTGCTCGGGAGGCCGGGGGAGCTTCCGCCGGAGTCCCGACCGGGACGCCCGAGCGAAGCAGATGCACGGGGTCGTTTGCACGGGCACGTGGCGGGCGCGTGAGCTGCCCGCGCAGGGCCGCGCGTGCTCGCCGTCGTTTCCACGGGCGTGCCGCGCGTGCTGCCTGCGTGAGTCACCCATGTGTTCTCGTCGATCACAGGACATTTAGATGCTTGTCTTAGGGACCTTCCCTGGGCCGACCTGGCAGATCAGTTCGACTCCAGTTCGACTCCAGTTCGGCGTTCGACCCAAGCTCGACTCAAACTCGACCCAAGCTCGACTCAAGCTTGACCCGAGCGCGAGTCAAGCACGACTCAAGGCCGGTTTAAGTCGACGGACGTTCGACGCAGCATCGACGCGTGAGTACAGCGAGGGGCTCCAGGAAGGCCCGCAAAACGAGCATCTCGGGCCACAGGCCCCGGTCGTGCTCAGTGACCGAGTTCGGGCTTTCCTGAAATTCCACGATGCGAGAACATCGCCAAACATGACGACCAGAGTTCCGGGCCCAACCTTTCTGCGCTATCTTCGAGCCAGATAAATCTCTGAGGGTCTCTCGGGGGCGGCAAAGAGGGGGGTGATGACTAGGGGGGGGTGGATATCATGGCGTGGGCCATGATATTTCCCCAGATCTCATGGCGCCTCTTCTTGTTTCATTACGTCCCTGGCCCCCCCGCTGGGCCGCGCACATGCCGCCGGTCATGATTTGCACCCCCCCCTCTTGGACACCTCCCTCTTGGCCGCTCGCGATCTTCGAGCCAGATAAATCTCTGAGGGTCTCGGGGCCCGAGGCTTGGCGAGACTGCCCGGTTCGAAACGAATGTGAGACGCTGGGATCTCAGGGTTGGGCCAGGGAAACGCTTCCGGCAGCACCTGGCCCGTCCATCTGCCGCGCCTGCCTGCTGCGGCGGGCCTTCTCTTGGGAGCCCCCTTCTCAGAAGTGTCAGGAGGAAAAGAAGCACACACAGACACAATGAATCCTCGATTCCCCAGAAGATATGGGAAAATATGGGAAGTGGGGGGGAAGACAGACACCCAGAAAACATGGGAAAAGATGGGGCATCTTTTTATTTGTGTGTATTTATTTGTGTGTCCTGGGGCCCCTTCAAGAAGGCCGCCCCCCCTGGCGCTCCCTCTTTGTGCCAGGATGCAGATCCTGGGAGGTCAAATCCAGCATCGGCGCAGGTATATCCGTGGTCGAACACTGGCCTCGTCCAGCACCATCCTGCTTCACACCGCTTCATCAATCTACAGCGGGCTTAATCCAGCTTACTATTGGGCCCGATCTGGGCTAGCCACATCCGACCCAATGGCCACGCAGTCGGGCTCAACAGACCCTGATCCCGAATCGTTCTCACAAGGGCCTCCCACGAGTTCTTTCCCAGCTTGTGCGCGCCTTGTCGGACCAACTGTGCGTCTGCGCCGATCCTGGGGCCAGGCCGATCCTGGGCCAAGGATTGGTACACATGTCTTCTTCGTGGTGCAGGCAGCCGCCGTCGACGACATCGCACATGGTGAGGGCGCTTGCTCCCAGCGCAGGAAGTCGATCTCTGTCGTGACCCTGGCGCGCACCTTGTCCTGGACATGCCCGCGCGCCCTGGCGTTGCGGTCGCACGCGGCGAACAGCTACGCCTTGCCCGCGGGTGTCTCTCCGCAGGGGCGGTTCTGGGACGACGGAGCGGGAAAGGTTGGCGGCGCGCACAAGGGGGTGGGGGGAGGAGGGAGGGCTTCTTAGAAGGAGGCTGCTTCTTAGAAGGCGCCGGCCTTCCATCTACAGAGAAGGTCCGCGCCCTCTAAGAAGCAGGGGTGCTTCTAAGAAGCCTTCCCCCCTCCCCCCCCCTCTGCGCGTGGCTGAAAAGGGGCGAAGGGGGCGGGGCATGCACTGCTCCTGGGCCCGGGACGGGCATGGCCCAGGTCCCGTCGCGCCGCCGGCCTTCCTCTTCGGGCGGGGCCGGGACGAGGAGTGAAGTCCGCTCCAGACCGCTCCGGCGCGCTCTCGGAGCCTTCCGGCACGCCCCGGGCAGGCCGCGGCGCCCGAGACATCCTTTATAGAGCCGCGGGATCTCAGGGACTCCCGACTTCTCCTCCCCCGATATTGTCCTCGGCCTGGCTTCGTCTTGCAGTCGGGGCGCTGAGGGAACCCTTTTCGTTGGGGAGGGGCTCCGTGTTCCTTGGTTGTTTCACAGCTTGCTTTAGGTTTTTAGGTTGTCCTTAGGTCTTCGATGGGAAATCGAAGTTCAACTTGAGGAAAACAGGGGCCTCGTTCCTTACTTAGGGTTCCTTAGGTCAACGTCCCGACTGTATCCTCCCCCGATTTTGCCCTCGGCCTGGCTTCGTCTTGCTCCTCTCCTCCCGGCCGCCGCCAGGTCCCAGGACTCCACCGTGGGCGCGGCGCAGCGCGAGATGGCCGGCAGGCCGGCGGCGGAGAGCGAGGCGCCCCCCTGCCCGCCCCTCTCGCCCCCCCTCGTCGTCGTCGTCGTCGTCGTCGTCGTCGTCGTCGTCGTCGTCGTCGTCGTCGTCGTCGTCGTCCTCCTTCTCCTCCTCCTCCTCCTCCTCCTCCTCCTCCTCCTCCCTCTCCTTCTCCTCCTCTTCTCCTCTTCTCCTCTTCTCCTCTTCTCCTCCTCCTCCTCCTCCTCCTCCTCCTCCTCCTCCTCCTCCCCCGCCTCCGCCTCCTCCTCCCAAGAGGCTTCAGGATGTCTGGGCGTGCATGCGCGACAAGGGTTCGCAGCTGGGGCAGGACAGGCCAGACTTCGGAGGCTTCGCGCACGAGGTCGGGCTTCAGTCATGCCGTCGCGCGTGCCGCTAGCTTCGCACGAGGCCGACAGCAGGCTTCTGGGCGAGTGGCACGGGCAGGCGGCGGAGCAGTGCGGGAACATCGCGTTCACCGACGGCTCGGGGTTTGTCAGCAGCATGCCCGAGCCGAGGCGCTGCGGGTGGTCGCTGGTGCAGGTGGGGGCCAAAGGGGTCCCTGTGCGCGCGGCCTCCGGCGCGCTGCCTGGCCCGCTCCAGACCGTGGGGCGTGCGGAGCGGCACGCGCTCCTGCAGGCGGTGCAGCTCCTCGGGTCGCAGGCGGAGTTCGTCGCCACTGATCTGTTGGCGCTGTCGTGGGAGGCGGGCTCCTGGGGCGAGGAGCTCGAGCAGGCGCGGGCTGCGCACGCCACGGTGTGGAGGCGCCTGCGCCGCCAGCCGCGCCGCCCCAAGGTGTTCTGGATCCCAGCCCGCAAGGACGTGCAGGGCTACCTGGGGATGGGCCTCCACCCGATGCTCTACGCGGGTAGCGTGTGGGCGGACTGGTTCGCCAAACATGGGGCGATGCAGCACACTGTGTCTCAGGTCTACGTGGATTTCTACGGGACCGAGGTGCAGCACTACAAGAAGGTGACGGCCTACATTGGGTGGGCCATGCAGCTGTGCCTCCAGATCGGCGACTGGCAGCAGTCTGTGAAGGCGGTGCCGCTGCCACCTGCAGGTCCTGCTCCACGCGTGACGGTGATGGAGCACGTGGTGGTCTGCGTGGGTGGCCGACGGGGACTGCTATGCAATGAGTGCGGCAAGCGGTCTCGGGCGCGGTCGGGCGCGGCGCTGCAGCAGTTCTTCAGGGCGGCATGTGAGCCGTTGAGGCTGGCGCGCATTAAGGCTGGTGCCGAGATTCACCACTTCGGGGCCCAGGCCTGTGTGCTGTCGGAGGCGGGGGCTCTTGCGACCGCGGCGCTGCGAGAGGCTGGGGGCGACGGGGGTGACCCGGAGCTCGAGAGCGGCAACCCGTGGCACGGCGCCGAGGAGGGTTTGCTGGCCCACGAGGGCCATCGGCTGCGGCGTGCTGGGCCCAGTCTTCGGCGAGGTCTGCGTGGCATGGATGCAGACGCGTGCGGCTCGTGGGCTGCAGCGACCTTGCCAGGGCCCGCCGCGGAGCAGGGATCGCTACGCCCTCACCTAAGTCTCTAACCTGGATGCCAGACGGGACAGGCTGATGAGGTCGCTGGATCCCAAGGCAGGCAGGCCGTTTGGGGGTGCAGGCGGCCTTGATGTGGTGACCGCGAACGTGTCGACCGACAGCGAGTCTGGCGGCTGCTGCAGCGTGGTCGACGGGCCGCAGGCGCTGGGCGGCATCGCGGGGTCGGCGGGCGCTTCTGCGCGGCGTGGGGGCGAAGGCGTGCAGGAGGCGCTGGCTGGCGCTGGGCGCGCGTCGCCGCCGCCGCTGCCTCGGCCGTAGGCCTCGGTGCGCGCGTGCGAGGCTAGCAGGCAGCTGGCGGCGGCAGCCGCGCGCGTGGCAGCGGAGGCGCCTCGCGGCCTACCATGGCAGGCGCGCCTCGCGCAGCTGCGGCAGCGCATCGAGGAGCGCGAGGCCAGCTGTGGCGGCCAATGGTCAAGGCCAGACCCGAGCGCCAGGAGCTGGATGGAGCGACGCACGGAGCTGCTCGCAAGAGTGCAGGTGCGGTGCGAGGAGCTCCAGCAGGAGGGCAGGCCGAGGCCCTGGCCTGCGGCGCGCATCGCCGTCGAGAGCCGCAGTCCCACCTTGATGGTGGCCGAGCGGCAGCCCAGGGAGCCGCTGCCGCGGGCCCCCCCCCCAGGCCCACTGCCACGGCACGGAGGCTCGCGAGGTGGGCCCGCTGGCGGATCGAGGCCGCCCACTTGTGCTTTCGTTTTGTTGTTCGTTGTGTTCTTCGTTTGGCTCGAACCGTTTCCCTGCACCTCCCTGCCAAAACGAAAAACAGAACACAGCCGAAGTCAAGCAGACCAGCGTTTAGGTCCAGCCCCGGTCCCCAGGAGACCTGAGAAGAGGCTCTCGCGAGGCCGCCGCCCGCAGCCTCCGAGGAGCCCCCCGAAAGGGAGCCCGCCACAGACGCGGAGGAGGAGGAGGAGGAACGCGTATATAGATCAGCTACAGCTGCGCGCCGCGGGCACGACGGGAAGCGGCGCGGCCAACGCACACGACGGCGGAGGCCTCACGCAGATCCTCCTCGTTGGTCGGGGGCGGCAAAGAGGGGGGTGATGACTAGGGGGGGTCGATATCATGGCGGGGGCCATGATATCTCCCCAGATTTCATGGCGCCTCTCCTTATTTCATTACATCCCTGGCCCCCCCGCTGGGCCGCGCACATGCCGCTGGTCATGATTTGCACCCCCCCCTCTTGGCCGCTCCCGACCAGGGGGTCGGCGGGGTGGCGTGTGAGGCTCCCGGAGCAAGCAGCGGGCGCGGGGGTGGCGGCGTGGAGGCGAGCCCCGCTCTGGGGTTCGAGGGGCTGCCGCGGGTGCGCTGCGGCTCCGCTTGCCTTGCGGCCTCGCCTGCCCAGTCCCGGGGGGAGCCCAGACTCGGATCGGTACGTCGGATCTCAGAGCGTGAATTACCTACCCCGCTTTCGCTTCCAGACAAAACCAAGTCATGCCACGCGCCTCCTCGTCAAGCGGCCTGACCAGTACAGGCCGTAGTTTGGCATCGCTTGGTATCTCTTGGGAGCGAGGGTGGTCAAAAGCGAGGTCGGTTTGTTTGCCCCCTAGGATCGGCGATCTGAATGAATCGGATCGGCGGAGATCCGCGGCCGAGTCGGGAGAGGTCGGATCGGTGGAAGTCGGCAGGCTGGTATGCCTCCAGCAGCGGATCGGGGTCCACATCGGGACCCGAGGTCGAGCCGAAGCGGAGCAAGAGGCCGCTGAAGCCGAGTCGAATCGAATCTGAGGGATCGGAACGAGCCCCGGGGTGCTGGGCAAAACTCCTCGGGCGCCACGCTGCTCGGAGCGGAGCAGGCACCGAGCGTGGGAGGCGCCCTTCTCTTGCAGCCAGCGCCGAGCCTTTGGCAGCGAGGAGGGGCGAGGGAAGGACGACGGGCAGGGCGAGGCATTGACAGTGTAGCTTCGCCCCCCTCCCCTCGGGCCTCTCTTTTGGCCGCTCTTGAGGTCCTCTTGGGAGCCTTTCTCTGGCCGCCTCGGGGCCCTCTTTGGGCCGTTTCGGGACCACCTTTGTGCCGTCAAGAGGTCCTCTCTCGGAGGCTTCTCGGACCGTCGGCCAGAAGCGTGTTCAAAGGGTCCCTGTTGGGTCGCGTTTGAGGCCTCGCGGAGGCCTCTCTTTTGGCCGCTCTTGAGGTCCTCTTGGGAGTTTTTCTCTGGCCGTCTCGGGCCCCTCGTTGGGCCGTTTCGGGACCCTCTGTGTGCCGTCAAGATCGGCGCCCCCCCAACATACTTATATACTATGTGTGCGTCTCCCTCCCACGGGCGACGCGCGCACCGAGAAATCTTATAGTATATGCGTCGTGGCCGGCGCTTTCTGGCCACACCGCTCGGGAAACGATCTATTACAAGGGTATACTATATGTTCGGATTGGACGCGCGCCTCCAAGGAGGACCTATAGTACTAGTATGTCTTTGTGCGTCCCATCAGGAGGCCCTCTCGGAGGCTTCTCGGGCCGTCAGCCAGAACCGTGTTCAAAAGGGTCCCTGTTGGGCCGCGTTCGAGGCCTCTTGGAGGCTTCGCAGCATTCACGATGCAACACGCAGGCTGCACCGCACACATCTTGCGCCGCATACCTCGAATGTCGAGAGCGCAAGAACCCACTATTTTGGCAACCGTGCCGTCGAGTACTTCAGTCAAATCCCCCTGGCGCAAGGCAAGCGCGAATATTATACGCACTCTCGTTTTCAGGCCGCTTGCACGGACAGTTTTACCATTCAGTGGCGATTCGAACTCGTTTTTCAATTCCTTGACATTGATCTGACCGTGTTGGCCAGCTCATACCTGGCAGTTTTCTGTATTCATTCCAGTCTCGATTATTCTGTTGTCGGCAGAAGTGTTCTGTGTTCTACGCTTCGAGCTTCGGATTCAAACCCGAAGCGGGTGGTCGTCGTAATCCGAGGCGGGGGCTCTTGCGAACAGCCCACTGCGACAGCATCAAGCTTGCCTGCCATCATCGAGATCGTTGCGTGCTGCCCCAACTCCTCTGTCCAATGCGTGCGCGCATTCATGCCACCTGGGCGACGCAACAAAAACGGGGTCGACTGCGCCGACATCGGCGCGTAAGCTGCCCGCGTAGGGTCGCGCGTGAGCGCCCTCGCTTCGAATGCAGTGTGGCGCGCGGGCGGCCCGCGTAAGCCACCGCGCAAGGTCGCCATGCCATCTCGCGCAAGACCCGTTGCTTTTCGCCGCCCACTTGTCTTCCCATGCATCCGCAATGACTGTACGGTGCCGTTTTAATACATGCTCCGCGTGCGGATCATTATTAAACATGCAGGGATTTAGCATTTAAGACAAAGATGAGTTCATGCATGCACTTACTCATACATTAATCATGTATTAAACATTTTTTTGTTATTAGAAATCCCATGTATTAAAACTGCCCTGTACCCTCCCCTTCCCTTCGCTCCCCTGCCTGCCCCTGCGTGGCCCACGCCAGGCAGCTCGTGGAGGCCAGAGGCAGAGCGCGACAGACGACAGAAGCGCGACGTAGAAGCGCTAGAGGCACGAGTGTCCAGCGCAGGAGAAATAGAAGCATTGTGAGCGCAGCATACTCCAGGAGAGGGTCAAAACACACAGACACAATGAATCGTCGACTTTCGAGAACATATGGGAAGATATGGGAAGTGGGGGGGAAGACGAACACCCATGAATTCTGGACAAAAGATGGGGCATCCAGGAATATGTATCGATGTATTTCGGTGTCCCTGGGCCCCTTCAGTGACAGCTATCAGGGCCACAAGGAAGTGGTCAGCGGGCCACCGGGCCGCCCACGAGAGCTCCGCGGTTCGCACGGGTGGGAGAGGGCATGGGTTGAGTCGGGCATGTCCCTCTACAAGAGCAGTATTCAAAACTGGTGAGAAATTAGTCGGGGGACGATTTTGGGACCATCTTCGATTTTTTTGTTTCTCCATTTTTCGTTCCAAATCCGCCTGTAGGAGGACTCGCCCTACCTGAGGCATGGGGACGGGGGCAGGAGAGGGCAGGCGCAGGGAGGGTCGACGAATCCCAGCGCCCATCTCGATCCGACCGATCCGCTTCGATGCCGATGTTGGCCGGCTCGACCCGCCTCGATTGTGATCGTTCTCTTCTTCCTTGTCTTGCCGATCGGCGCGGGCCCTCGACCCCCCCCTCCCCCTCCCCCCCGCTTGGGCGCCTGCTTCGAGCAGGTGGAGCCTCCCCCCATGGGATGCACTGCTGCAAGCAGTCGTGCTGAGCAGAGGTCCGAGGCAGCACCCCCCCCCCCCCCCCCGTTCGCCCACTGTCGAAACGCCCTCCTCCTCCTCCTCCTCCTCCTCCTCCTCCCCCTCCTCCTCCTCCTCCCCCTCCTACTCCTCCTCCTCCTCCTCATTCCGATGCCCCGTCGCTCCGATGCTGCCCGATGCCCGCGTGGCGCTGTTCTGCATCCCGGCGCGGCCGCTCCGGCTCGACGTGGTGGCCGAACTATTACCACCCACACCGAAAATCTAGGGTCACCTTCCCCCTGTGGAGGCAGCCCCCTGTCTTGGTGTTGGTGCCAATTTCCAGGCCTCCGACTTTGTTCCCCTCCTCGAGCCCCCACCTCTTAAGCGCCGCTGCGGGCCGGGGCCGCGGCGCCTGCGCCGCAGGACAACGAGGGCGGCGAGTTCGACGACTGGGACCTGGTGCCGGAGCAGCCGGACAGCCTGCTCGGCGTCTTCCGCGGGGGGGGGGGCAGGGATTTTTTTTGTTGCAGTGCCTCGTTCGCTGGAGCCGCGTCTTCCTGGTTACATTCGCATGCGCGCACGAGTGTCGGCCTAGTTCGACGACTGGTACCTGGTGCCAGAGCAGCCAGACAGCCCGCTCGGCGTCGTCAGCGGGGATGGCGGAGTTTTTTTCCAGTGCCGCGTTTTCTTGAGGCTCACATTCGCGCACGAGTGTCGGCCTGAAACGGGTAAGCGCAAGCGAGGATGCATCGAGTGTGATTGTGCCGATGACGATTGAAGAGGAGTGTGTGTGTGTGTGTGTGTGTGTGCGTGAGTGTGTGTGTGTGTGTGTGTGTGTGCGTGAGTGTGTGTGTGTGTGTGTGTGCGTGAGAGTCTGTGTGTGTGTGTGTGTGTGTGTGCGTGAGTGTGTGTGTGTGTGTGTGCCAAGTGTGACCGTACCATGCGTGGCTGTGCGGTGCCTGCACGGCGGCTGGCCGCGGCAAGTGCTGCTCCGAAGGTGTCACGGCGCCAACATGGCAGAGCGGAGTTCGTTTGGAAAACGACAGGATGGGCGCGGAGTGCCCTGGAGAATTTCGTTCCGGATCTCGAGGTGATTTTCGTGCAGATTTTTCCGGCTAGGAATGAAGACAACAAACGATCTCACGCGAAACTCATTCCGTTTTTATCATTCGCCGCTTCTGTTTTTTTTTTTTTTGCATGGGCAGACATCCACGCAAGAGTCCGCTGCAGCACGTTTGCGAGGTCGGTGCAGTGCCCCTGGCGCTCCAGGGGCCGATAGCCCTGGGAGCCAGAAAACGAAGACACCGATCCATGACCCGTTGCCCTCAGGACCTCTGTGCATCTGCTTGCAGCGCGGAGGTTGAGTTCAGCAGCGGCGTAGGTAGATCCGCATCCGCGGCCTAAGTTGGCCCACTCCCACTTAGATCCCTTCGTGCAATTCCGCCCAATTGGGCTCAATCTGGCTGAGTGGACTTCAATCTTGGGCTTCCTCTGGGCTCTCCCCCCTGTCTCCCCAGCGCCCCAGCGGGCGCACATTTCTCCATCCGCAAATCAAGAGCTTGTCTTCGAGGTATGCCGCGCTGCGAGACACGCAGCGCCGCGTGGTGATCGTCTTCTTATTTAATCGCTTCGCTCATTCCGCCGGCCCTGGAGCCCTCTTTAGGGCCTCTTGGGGGCCTCTTGGGGACCTCTTGGGAGTCTCTTGGGGCTCCTTGGCGGCGTCTTGGCGGCGAATTCCCTGTTGTTCTACAGATCGGCGGGGGCCCTCGCCCCCCCCCCTCCCCTCACAGGATCGAGAGAAGGACGTGCACTTGCATGAGTCCACGTTGGTTTCGAGAGTCTGCGTTGCGCGAATTGTCGCGCGGAGGGTCTCGCGGATCGAGGGGCCGTGTTTATGTATACACGGTTGGGCGCGTACGTCCTTTGTGGGCTCCCTACCCTCTCCCCCCCCCACAGAATGGAGTAGATCTTGGCTGTTTTTGACGCCTGTTTCGAGCAGGTGGAGTCCCTCCCCCACAGGGCGCACTGCTGCAGGCAGTCGCATTCAGCAGAGGTCCCGAGCCAGACCCCCCCCCCTCCCCCCCCACTCCCCCCCCCCCCCCACTCTCCCCCCCCCTTCCGCCCAATGTCGAAACGCCGAATAAGAAAACGCTCAGAGAGGGCCGACAGGGAAGGCTCAGAAAACTTCGCAGAAGGTCAGGAAAGGCTTAGAAAACTTCTCGGAAGGCCGGGCAATTTCCGAGCCTTCTGAGAAGGCCCGCCCCTTCTCACTCCCCCCCCCCCAGGGCGCGCCGCCTAAAAGCGCAACGCCGTGAACCAAGCCCTCACGACCGGAGCCCGCGACGGGAGGCTTCGGCCACACCTCCCCCCGTGGCATCTCTCTCGAGGCGGATCGAGCCGTGGAGGTCGCGTGGGCCCGGCACGCCGTCCCGCGCCGCGCCGCGATGCCGCGCTGCGAGAGGCGCCGCGCCGCGAACAGAAACCCCACGACCGGAGCCCGCGGCGGGAGGCCCCCGGCCGCCACACGTTGCGAAGCGGTTGATCCATAGCCACCGCTTGAGAGATCGATCATCGGGGACCACGACAGGCGGCGGATATGGATATATACTCGGGTCCGTGGGGCAATCACGTGTTCGTATCCGCCGCTCGCTGGGGTCACAGGACGTCGATCCCACACGCGGTGGATACAGATTATGTCCGCGGCCTCTCTCTCGGGGCGGATCGAGCCGTGACTGGTCGTGCGCGGGCCCGGCATGCCCGCGAGGGCGGGGCGGCCGCGCGCCCGCCGGTGCGCTCTTCTCTCCGCACGGGCGCTCGGGCGCCAAGGGGATGAGCCCCATAGCCACCTGCACCCGGGCCCGTTTCGATGCCTCCTCCTCCTCCTCCTCCTCCTCCTCCTCCTCCTCCTCCTACTCCTCCTCCCCCCCCACCCCCTCCTCCTCCATTTCCTCCTCCATTTCCTCCTCCTCTTCCTCCTCCTCCGCCTCCTCCTCCTCCTCCTCCTCCTCCTCCTCCTCCTCCTCCTCCTCCTCCTCCTCCTCCTCCTCCTCCTCCTCCTCCTCCTCCTCCTCCTCCTCTCCTCTCTCCTCCTCCTCCTCCTCCTCCTCCTCCTCCTCCTCCTCCCTCCTCCTCCTCCTCCTCCTCCTCCTCCTCCTCCTCCTCCTCCTCACCGTCTGGGACTTCTCGACCCGATGCGATCTCGATTGCGCACAGCGCTCGGACGCCGAGGCGTGAACCCAGCCGCCTACACTTCCTCGGGAGCTGGAGCGTATACTCTGGATGTGGTAATCATCAAGGGGGGGTGAGTCGCCTTCCGACTGAGCTTGCCCAATCCCGCCCCCCCCATCTTCTTCCCCCTCCTCATCCTCCTCCTCTTTCTCCAAACCTCCCTACACCCGTTCCGACAGCACATGCCCAATCCCCCCAGCGGAATCAGGGGGGAGGGCGCTTTTTGTTCCATTCAGGGCTCGATTCGATTCGAATTCGATGGATTCCGATTTCGATTCGATCGGATTTCGGATTCCGGTTTGGGCTCATTTCTGGCGATTCGATTTTTTTTCCGATTTTGCCACCTATCCGATTCATTTCGATCGCGGATCCGATTTATCGATTTGATTCTGGGCTCTCTTGCTTATACTTCCTCGGAAACTGGAGCATAGACGTCACCAGTGGCGGGCTGTTTTTCCATCCCAGGGCTTTGAGGGTCGGGGACGACGTCGGGGTGGTATGGTGTGTATGCTTTTTTTCCCGTGCTCCTGGGCGAAGTAACGGAAAGTGCATACACCAGGGTCCCGTATGCACCAGGATCCGCTTTCCTGCGCAAATTTCAGTACAGGGCCGGAAAAAGCGTCGGTCTATAGAGTTCGGTTCCCTATTTCCCGTTTGGATCCAGCGAGGCGTCTCGACGTGGAACTTGATCTGCTCGGCGCGGACGGCGCCTATGAAAAGCCGATGCATCGCCGATGCATCGCCGATGCATCGGCGATGCGTTGGCGATGCGTTGGCGATGCGTTGGCGGTGCGGCGCGAGCCTTCGAGCCGTCGGGGAAGCCCCCCATGCAGCACCGAGTCCTGGACGCGTCCCCGAGCTCGTGCTGACCAGGATCTCTCCGAGAGTCCGGCCGTGACGGCCCGTGGCGTCCGGGGCAGGCCGAGAAGGCCGGGAGACGTCTGTGGGTAAAAACACAAAAACACAAACAACACAAAAGCACACACACAACAATAACAATAATCAAAACACAAAACAGCAAAACAACACAAACACACACACACACACCAAAAAACACACACAAAACAACACACACACACACTGTGTGTGTGTGATTTGTTGTTGTCGTTGTTGTTGTTGTTGTGGTTGTTGTTGTTGTTGTTGTTGTTGTTGTGGTGGTTGTTGTGGTGGTTGTTGTTGGTGTTGTTGATGTTGTTGTTATTGTTGTTGTTATTGTTGTGGTTGTTGTTGTTGTCGTTGTTGCGGTTGTTGTTGTTGTTGTCGTTGATGTTGTTGTTGTTGTTGTTGTTGTTGTTGTTGTTGTTGTTGTTGTTGTTGTTGTTGTTGTTGTTGTTGTGGTTGTGGTTGCTGTTGTTGTTGTTGTTGTTGTTGTTGTTGTTGTTGTTGTTGTTGTTGTTGTTGTGGTGGTTGTTGTTGTTGGTGTTGTTGATGTTGTTGTTGTTATTGTTGTGGTTGTTGTTGTTGTCGTTGTTGCGGTTGTTGTTGTTGTTGTTGTTGTTGTTGTTGTTGTTGTTGTTGTTGTGGTTGTTGTTGTTGTGTTTTTTTGTTTGTGTGTTTTTTTGTTTCCCATCCGGCCGCATGCGCGTGCACACCTTTTCGGCGCACGACCGCTCCGTGCCCTAGAGTTCTGGTGTCCCGACTGTCCCCGTGTGCGGGCCCCCTTCTCTCGACCACACAGTGGAGACCCATGCAAAGAAACGCCCTGCTCGCCTCCAGGGGGCCCTGGGTCTCTTGGGTTTCGGTGGTTTTGCTAGCGAAAGCGTGACGTTCCCACAACAAGAACCCATGGACGTCTTGGGGTCTCAGGGTTGGGTTTCCTGAGGAAGATCTCTTGAGGACGGGCTTCCACTGTATTTTCGTCCCGCATGGCTCGTTGACGGTCTCGGAGCCCGACGGGGGGCTCTTCGGACGCCGAAGGCGGCAGACAACTCGGGAGACGAGACGCTGGAGGCCTGGGCCCTGAGACTACAGCTCGTTGACCGTCTCGGAGCCCGAAGGGGGGGGGCCCTTCGGACGCCGAGGGCTGAGTGCAACTCGGACGGCGAGACGCCGGGGGCCTGGGCCCCCCGAGCCGATCCTGGACCTCTCCAGCGGTGCATCCTGGCGCGCCTCCACCGGGCGGGCCCGGCGGGGGGCCGCGAGGGCGCCCCGGAAGGTCCCAGCCGGCGCCCAGACGCCCAGAAGCCTCGATCCTCGAAGCTCGGTCCAAGGGCGTCGCCGTCGTCGTCGTCGTCGCCGTCGCCGCCGTCGCCGCCGCCGCCGCCGTCGCCGTCGCCGCCGTCGCCGTCGTCGGCGCCGTCGTCCTCGTCGTCGTCGTCGTCGTCGTCGTCGCCGTCGTCGCCGTCGTCGTCGCCGTCGTCGTCGTCGTCGTCGTCGTCGTCGTCGTCGGCGCCGTCGGCGTCGTCGTCGTCATCGTCGTCGTCGTCGTCGTCGTCGTCGTCGCCGGCGCTTGCGCCGCGCTGCAGGACCGCCTGCTGGAGCGCATGGTCAACGTGCCCTCGCACGGCGAGAGCGGCGGCCGCACGAGGCCGCCGCCCCGCCCCCCGCGGTGGGCGGGCGGGGAGGGCCAAGGGAGGGACGCGGGCGCGATGACGAGATGACGATGCGGCGACGTTGCGATCCCAGGCATGATCGCGTCATTAAGAAAAATCAGATCGGAGGTTTCGGCCTCCATAGGCTTTCGCCGGGCCCCGGGGCCGTCGAGGAACGGCTCAGGATGAGAACCCGGTCCCGGGGAAAGGGTCGGCGATGTTGCTCGAAGAAGAAGAAGCGACACAAACATAAATTTCTGGCGCTCCGCGCGGATTTCTTAGATCCGCGCTGGGCCCCCCAGCGGCGCCTCCGGCGCCGCCCCTGGTGCGCTCCGTGCGCCAGGGAGGGGGGCCCAGCGCAGATCCAAGACATCCGCGTGGAGCGCGACACGTTTGTGTTCGTGCCGTTTTTTCCACTTCTGGGTGCGACACGACGACGACACCGGGGCCTCCCAGATGGGCTTCTCTCCGTCTTCGGCCTCTGGGGGTCCTCACCGGGCACTCGCGTAGCGAGAAAGAATTGCGATCTCTCCAGCTTCGGCCTCCAGGGGCTCCCGCCAGGCCTCGGGGCCGTCGGGAAGCGACCTTTTGGGCGAGAGGCCAGTCCCCAGGGGAGGGGCCCGTACTGGGATGGGTGCGGGGGTTGCTGCGGGGATAGGGGGGTTACTCCAGATTTCGTAATAAAGGGAGGGGGGTCTAATTTCGGGGGGGGGTCTCTTCCAGGCTATCTTGGAGGGCCTGGGGGGTCTGGGGACGATGTTTTGGAGGGTTCTCCCACGGGGGAGGTCTGAAATGGCTTGTCTTGGAGGGTCCAGACCCTCTCCCTTTTATTACGAAATCTGGAGTATCAGTGGACGCCAAAGGGGTTGTACCTGGCCAAACCTAGCTTATAAGTGGGTTGCTAATGTCCCAGGTGGCTTGGGGGGATAGCGATCCAGGCGAAGCGGGCTCCGCCTACTCAGCGGAGTTGTCGAATCCCCCTGAGCCACTTAGGGCATGTGTAACTCACTTATACGCTAGGTTAGGCCAGGTATAACCCCTTTGGCGTCCACTGATAGCCCCCCTATCCCCTTAGCAACCCCACGCCCATCCCAGTACCTCTGAGGGTCCACTCCAGGCCTCCCGGGGTCCGAGCAGAAGGGGTCGGAGGATCGCGCCGCAGCGCCAAGGCCTCCGCGGTGCGGCCCGACGCGGAGCCCGATCTTCTGCACGCCGACGGCGCCGATGCGTCGCCGACGTCGCCAGTGCATCGCCAATGCATCGCCGATGCATCGCCGATGCATCGGCGATGCGGCGCGATCCTCCGAGCCCATCTGCTCGCACCCCAGCTAGGAGGCCTCTGACGACGGAGCGAACGAGGGCGCGACGCTGCAAATCAGCTCGTCGGTCAGATCAGTGAGGGCGGCGGGGGGACGCGGAACCTTTCAGAAGGCACGTGGCGTTTTTCGAAGAAGAAAAATCACAGAGACATAATTTTCGGAGGTCCGCGCGGGTTTCTCGGATCCGCGCCAGACCCCCCCTCCTTGGCACGCGGAGCGCGCCAGGGGCGGCGCCAGGGGCGCCGCCGCGGGGGGCCCAGCGCGGATCCCAGAAATCCGCGCGGAGCACCAACAGTTTCTGTTTACGGAGTTTTTTCTCCTTAGAATTTTGGAAGGCTGCCGAAAGTCTTCGGAGGTTTTCGGGGCCCAGGGTGGTCCTCCTCGGCCGCGGCGCCTCCTCGTCGAGAGTGCCAAGAAGGGGTGGACGTCAGCGGGGGTCAGCACCAGCGAGGGCGCGAAGGCCCTCGCGACCCCTCCGGGTCAACGATAGGGGGGATGTGCATAGGCTAGGGTTAAGTCGGGCCTGTCCTTCTACACGAGGAATTTTCAAAAACAGTTAAATGATCGTATGGGGACGAGTTTCCTATTCTTTTCGACTATTTTTGGGTATTTGTTGATTGTTGCCCCGCCCAAAACATTCGCCTGTAGGAGGACATGCCCGACCTAAGCATAGGGGGGATCTGCATCGACCCCCAGTCGCCCATGGATCGCCGACAGGTGCACGAGGGCCCCAGCCTGCCCAGGACCGCGCGGGTGTGCACGATCGGGGGCCCATCTCGCCGGTCCATCGGCGATGCATCGCCGATTCCAGGCCGGTGTGTCCCCCCCCGCAGTCAACCCGCACAGAAGGACGGGCAACATTCCCAAGGGTAGCCTTGCGTCCGTGCCTCCTCGGCCCATCCTTCGCCGCTCTCGTTGGCCGCGCCCCGCTCGAGGAGCTTCGGCACGGGCGCGTCCGAGGCCCTTGCGCATCCTCATAAATCGCGCATCCTTGCGATACGGGCCGACGGAGTGGCACTGCAATGGCAAGCTTCTCATGACAAGGAATACCTCTTGGAGGCCGTGTTGCAATGAGATGAACATGGGATGAGTTACTCAGCATGGGCTCCGAAGAAAGGCAAAAAAGGAAGGAAGGATGAAAGAACGCCCGGCGCCCCGGCGGGCGCACAGCAAGAGCACCCTGCAGAAGTTGACCGCCGTGTCCAGCTACACCGCGGAGCACACCGCCAGGCGCCAGCCAACCCTCTTGCCAGCTACGCGAGAGCAGCGGCTCTGTGCGATCGTCGCCGCCGCCGCCGCCGCCGCCGCCGCCGCCGCCGTCGTCGTCGTCGTCGTCGTCGTCGTCGTCGTCGTCGTCGTCGTCGTCGTGGTGCCTGTTTTCGCGCTCCTGTTTACCTGTTTGCTTCGTGCCAGTTTCTTGCGCTCCGGGTTCCCCGCCGCGGAGCGCCTTCATTGAAGAACCCAGAACAACTGTGCTGTTCGACGAGACGGGATCTGTGCCCGTTTGGAGTTTTGTGCTTGGTTGTCCCTTCTCTGCTCTTGGTCTCTGCCATTTGGTTCGGGAACTCCTGCTGGCGTTCGTGTCAGGGAAGTACAACAGCAACCAAACATGGAACAATGTTTATTGGTTTTCTTTGTTTCCGTTTGCTGGTTCCGGTTCCCGCGACCCCAGCCGGCACGACGCCGTTTTCCTCCGCTGTTTCCTCCACCATGCACCTGGACGACGCGTGGCCCCCTGTACTCACAAACACAGGAGCTGCACCGACTAGGTGTCCCTAGACCGGCCATGTGCTGTCCACCCAGACAGCGCGTGGCCCCCCACGGCCTTCGGCCACAGTTTTGACACAGGTAGCTGCACTGGTCAGGTGCCCCTAGTCAGACCGGCCCTGCGCTGTCCACCCAGACAGCGCGTGACCTCCGCGGCCGCCGCAGGGGCCACCTGCCGGGCAGCTGCAGCGCTGGCGCTGGGCCGCCTGGCGCCGACGCTCCGCCTGTTGGGGCCTCTCCGCGGGCGGGGCGCTCCTCCCGCCTGTCCCCCCCTCCCCTTCCCTGCGCCTGCTGCCTCCCTCCCTCCGCGCGCCGCCATGGCGCCGACGCTGCAGCCGCGGCTGGCAGCGACCCCTTCGGGATTTGGTGCTCCTGGGCCAGGCGCTTCGCCGCAGGAAGCCTAGACTGCTGTCTGTCACGTGCAGCACCTCTCCGACCCTCCTCGGCGGCTCCGTCGCGTGATCCTCCCTGACATCAGGAGGGGAAAAAACACACAGACACAATTAATCGTCGAGTCACAGGAAAATATGGGAAAATATGGGAAGTGGGGGGGAAGACAGAAACCCAGAAAACATAGGAAAATATTGGGAATCCTGTTATTTGTGTATTTATTTGTGTGTTCCAGGGCCTTTTCATGACAGTACTTCGTCGGCCCACACCTGGACGGCTCTACTGCGCGTGTCCTTGCCTTCCGCAATCTGGGCCTCGTCGTCGCCCGCGGGGTGCCCCGACGCTGCGGCCGAGGCTGCCGAGGCCGCATGCGCCGGCGCACTCGGGTCGGACTGCTTCCGCCTCGGAGTGCCCCCTCCCTTCTCCTCCTCCTCCTCCTCCTCCTCCTTCTCCTCCTCCTCCTCCTCCTCCTCCTCCTCCTCCTCCTCCTCCCCCCTCCTCCTCCTCCTCCTCCTCCTCCTCCTCCGCCTCCTCCTCCTCCTCCTCCTCCTCCTCCTCCTCTGCGGCCGCCCCGCCTGTCTCAGCCTCCCCTCCCGCACGCGGGGCACTTCGCTCTTCGGTGCCCCCGTGTAGCTCCCCCGCTGGTGCATCAGTTCCGCCTCGCCGCCGAGCAAGATGTGCTTGTTTGTTTGTTTGTTTGTTTGTTTGCTTGCTTGTTTGTTTGTTCGTTCGTTCGTTTGTTGGTTTGCTCTTGGAGGAGGAGGATGAGGAGGAGGAGGAGGAGGAGGAGGAGGAGGAGGAGGAGGAGGAGGAGGAGGAGGAGGAGGGAGGAAACTTGTGCCTCCCGCGTTGCGTGCGTGCCAACACGAATGTACATCGTGCTGTACGGTTCGCCTGTCGACCCGACCGAACTCGGAGAGTAGGCGTACCCCTGGGGCCTTTTGGGCCCATCCTAGCTATACCTACCCTCGGGCTGACCCATCGGGCCTGCCCCAGGGCCCCTGGCCTCTGGGCCTACCCTAGGCCGTCTCCCCGGGCCCACCCCCAGGCCCATGCCGGGGACCCACCCGCAGGCCTGCCCGAGGCCTGCCCGCAGGGCGTGCCCGTAGGCCTGCCCTAGGCCTACCCGGAAGGTTTAACCGTAGGCCTACCCTGGGCCTGCTTCCAGGACCGACTCCTAGGCCTATACCAGGGCCTACCCTAGGCCTACCCTAGGCCAACCCCTGGGACCCTAAGGCAGGGTTTCCCGAGGCTGGCCTAGGGCCTAGGGTCGGTCCTGCTCTCGGCTACCCTGGGGCCTGGGGTAGGGCCTAGGGTAGCCTAGGCCCTCCGAGTTCGATCCTGTATAGAGGAGGGAGTCTCGATCGCGTCGACTATCTCTAAGTTGTTCAATCGCTGCTGTGCTGCCCACGCAGCGTGTTGCGCATAGTAGTAGTCCGTTGCTTCATCGGTGCGCCTCTCGTGTGTTTCCTTCCAGTTCCTCCAGTCCGCCTCCTTCTGCTAATAGATCTGAATATCGTGTAGGTGCGCCTCATGATACTCCGCGGTGCCCATGCCCGCGCGTTGGAGTACGACTTGTAGTTGCCTCTTAGTTCGTAGGGCGTCATGCCGCGCTCGCTGCTCGTGCGTGCTCATGTCGGTTCGCAACTGTTGGGGGTATTGCTCGTGGCGTTGGGCCTATTCAGCATCTCTTCTTCCGACCAAACGTTCAATGTCGCTGGCTCTTTGCTGGTACTCCTCGCAGAAGCTGCCTCCCGTCGCCTCCATGTGGATTTCTTTGTCATATATCTCAGCTTGGGCATGTCGACGCCTGTCCTCATCATCTCCCCATCTCTCGTAAAGCGTGCTCGTTGCGGTCATCGAGCCGTTGCGCTTGGCTGCTGGCAATCTGCTGCTCGGCCTCGTTGGTCATGCGAAAGTATGCTTGCCCTTCCTCGGCCACTTGTTCTGCCTCTCGCAGCTGCTGTTGTATGTTCGCGCCGTCGTTTTTGCTCTCGATGAGCTTTTGCTGCGCGCTCCTGAGCTCGTTTTGCAGTGCACCTGTCTCGGCGTGGCCGCGACGTCTTGGAGCGTCCCTTGCGGTAGCCCTCGTCGCCTTGAGCTCCTCCTCCGTCACTTCTGTTCAGGGCAGTCGTGTTCTTGTTTTGCAGGAACTCGGGGTGGGTGGCCGCTTCTTCGTTCGCCAGTCTGGCGTTGCCGATCTCGTTTTTCAGCTCGTTCTGATAGTGGCCGGCTCGTGCTGCTTCCGTATGTCAGGAGGGGAAACACACACACAGACACAGTTAGTCGTCGACCCCCAGGAAAATATGGGAAGTGTGGGGGGGGAAGACGACAACCCCAATAATTGAAATTATGGGGAATCCTGGGACTTGTGTGTCTATTTCTTTGTGTGTCCCTGGGCCCCTTCATTGTGCTGTCTTTCACCTTGCTCCTCTGCGCTCCCTTCTGCCGCACGGAGAGTGGCGTTTTTGGCGGACGTGGCTCTCGTTCTTGGCGCCGCTCTCGCGTTCTTTTCGATGTCGTGGGCCGTTCTCGTTGGCTGTCCTCTCTCGGTCTTTTCAGTAGTGTGCTGGCGTCCTGGTCGCCGCTCGTCGCCCTGGCCCTCCGGTTTGCCCTCTGGGGCGTGGGCGCCCTCATCCGTGGTGTGTCCCTCCTTGTGGCCTTTCGGCTCCGTCGCCTGCAGCACCTGTGTCACGGTAGACGTCGTCCCTGACCGTGCTGATGCCACAGAGTGGAGGATGCTGAGCTCGTCGATCTCGGTCTCCGGCTCGTTGATGTGCTTCTTTATCTCGTTTTGGTGCGCATGGTCTGCTTCTTGTTGTCTATTTCTCTGGCCTGTTAGGCTGTGGGCATGCTGCTGAGGATCATGGCTTCGATGGGACAATTTGGGCGACTGCATCTGTAGTAGGTAGACCTGCAAGGCTGTTTGTCATCATGGCTGAGGCTGACCGCCTGGGGTCGATGAGATTGATCTTCTTCCAGTCGTCTCTTAGCTTGGGTCGTTTGGTGATGACTCCCAGTCAAGCCTTCGGACGGCATAGACCTTGCGTACCAGCATAGCGTCGTTGATGATGTTCGTGATTTGGTCGTTGTAGAGTCCTGGGCGGCATCCCTTCGTTTCTCTTTGGGCGTGTTGTCCTACTCGGGTCGTGTCTTGCTCTTCCCCTCGCCCTTGTTGTTCTAGTTCTTGCCTTTCTAGTTGCGGTTGTGGCTCGGTGTCGTCGTCGTCGTCGTCGTCGTCGTCGTCGTCGTCGTCGTCGTCGTCGTCGTCGTCGTCGTCGTAAGGTCTGGGGAGGCTTCTCTTTCCTTGGCCTGTGCTGCTCTTGCCGTTGCAGCCCTCGTTCCACGAGGTGCCGGGGTGGTCGTTGGGCCCACTGCTCCGTCCTCTTGTGCTGTTCCAGTCGCCGGGGGCAGAGGGCGTGGTGTCTCGGTCCTCTGCTTTGGAGGTGCGGCTCGCGGTTGATCTCCGGGGTGGTTGCGCAGTCTCCGAGCTGCTCGCGGCTGATCCCCACGGTGCTGCCACTACGGGAACTCGAGGTGGGTGTCGCGGCGGCTGTTGTGCGTTGTGCGTGCGCCTGGAGTAGACATCTCGTGCTCTGCTGTAAGCAGCCGCAGTAGAGGCAGAGCGTCTCGGCCCCCCTGCGGGGCGGGGCAAGTGGGGGCGGGATCGGGTGATCGCGGCTGCATCCTCATCTTCTTCCTCCTCCATCCCCTCCTCATAAGTCACTCCTCCCTGTCGCACCCCGAGGCTGGTCGAAAGGGCGGGCCAGGCGTTTCGCCTGAGATTTCCTCACCATTTTTGACTGATGCTTGAACATTGGCAACAGTTTCACAGTTGGAGGGTGGGTGGTTTTCATAGCGCCGCGCACATTCGTGTTAAACATTCGCAAGAGTTTCGCGGATTGAGGGTGGGCCGATTTCAAAATGTGGTTCTGGCTTTAGTAGCGCCGCGCGCATATGTTTTAAACCATTGCAAGAAAAACATTGCAAGAGTTTCACGGATTGAGGGCGGGCCGTGTTCAAGATGTGGCTCTCGCTTCAGCGCCGCGCACCTGAAAACATTGCAAGAGTTCCTCGGATCGAGGGCGGTTCGTTTTCAATCTATGGTTCTCGCCTTAGCGCCGCGCACACTCGTCCTATACACATTGCAAGTGTTCCGCGGATTGAGGGTGGTTCGTTTTCAAAATGAGGCTCTCGCCTCAGCGCCGCGCACATTTATTTTTAACATGTGCAAGTGTTTCACGGGTTCCCACGGTCAACGTACCAGAAATTGCGTTTTGGAAGGGTTCAAGAATGTCGTGGTACAACGGTTACGTTGATTTGTGGTGTTGGATTCCCAGGAATGGTTTTCTGGCACGATTCAGGATCGTCAAGACGCAGAAGTCATGTTGATCCGTGGTTCTGGAGTCCCGAGAATCGTTTTTTGGCACGCTCCAGGCTCTTCAAACGGTTGTCTCCCAACGAGGCAGCTCCCTCAGTGGAAATGAGCCCTTGCAGGGGCCTGTGAAGAGGGACCTTGGAGGGAGGGTCTATTCCAACATCGTTGATAAGTCTTGGCCTTACACTGGTCCTCCTCCTCCTCCTCCTCCTCCTCCTCCTCTTCCCTCGTCCTGTCTTTCGCAGTTTGGGCCCCCCCTTGAAATCAGGAGCCGCCCTTCATCCGTCTGCTGCGAGACGAGAGAAGCAGTCCCGAGCGAGAGCCCAACTCCGAACAAAAAGCGCCACCCTCCACCCTGTGCAGCCTGTGGCAGGCTGTCGGGGCGAGCGTGCGTGGCGCGCGGAGGCGAGGGCCACCCTCCGAGAGCTCCAGGGACGCGGAGGAGGAGGAGGAGGAGGAGGAGGAGGAGGAGGCGGAGGAGGCGGAGGAGGAGGAGGAGGAGGCGGAGGAGGAGGAGGAGGAGGAGGAGGAGGAGGAGGAGGAGGAGACGCCTGGGGAGCTCGAGAGGCCCCGGGCTCCCCCCTGGTTCCCTCTGGCGTCCGAGCGCCCTCTCGGCCGCCCGCCGCGAGGGGGCGCAGCTCCAGCCACGGAGGGCGGGGGGCGTCGCCAGCCCGTGCGGCCCCCTCGAGGGGCTTCGGATCCCGTGCCAGCTCGGCGGGCGAGCGGGCCGAGACGATGCCGAGAATGCACAGAACGGCACCCTGGAGATTTGCCTGGTGTGTTTAGGCTCCAGAATTTGCCCTCGAGATTTGCCTCGAGGGCAAATTGCCTGGTGTGTACCCTCGAGGGGAGATTTGCCTCGAGGGCTCCCCCTCCTTCCTCTTCGTCCCGTCTTCGTCCTCCTCTCTTCTCCTCCTCTCGCCCTGGTGCTTTTTTACTCCTGGGATGCTGCTGTACGAATAGCTGCTGGTCAGGCTCTGCCGCGTAGCGCCACGGAGTGCACGTGTTGCTCGAGTGTGGTTGCGGTCGTCCCCTCCCTCTTGCCCCTCCTTCTTCTCCACAAGTATTGCGCGGGGGAAAAATACAGAACGGCACCCTCGAGATTCCACAGGTTCCGCCGCAGCCGCTACGTTTGCTTGGTGTGTGTGTGTGTGTGTTTAGGCTGTGAAGGCAAGCGCTTACGCGGACAGGAATCGTTTTTTTTGGGGGGGGGGGGTTTGCCGGGCCGATCTGTGGTGGTGCCAGGATCCGAGACTGGGCGAAAACGAGCAGTGCGAAAGAATTGCAGCGCCCCCGGATCTCAGGGAAGTCTCTGCGAAGTTTGGGCTCCAGTCCCGGGGTCGGATTTCCATCCTGAGTCGTTTCTTGACGGTCCGGGGGTCCCGCGAGGGCCCACGGAGATCGAAATTCGTAAAACCCGCCCGTCGTGTTCTTTCATGACGCGAGCCCAGGGGTCTGGGAATGGAGCCCTCCAGGGTCCATTTGGTTCCGATCGATGCGATTCCATGTCGACTCCAGCCGGCCCGATCCGATTAGATTCCGATGTTTCGTGGATCCGATTCGGCCCGACGCTTGCACGGCGCTGTTGTGCCTCCTGGCGCGGGCGATCCGATCTGATCCCGACTCCGTGCCGATGCAGCCCGATCCGATCCGACGCACCTTCCGATCCGATCCGAATGTCCGATTCGATGCTGACTGATCCTGCCCTCGGTAAAGCAGCCACGCGCAGAGGGGGGTAGGGGGAAGGGGGACGGCTCGTTAGAAGCATCCCTGCTTCTCAGGGGGCGCGGGCCTCGTCTGCAGACGTAGGGGCCAGCGCCCTCTAAGCAGCGGCCTCCTTCTAAGAAGCTTTCCCCCTCCCCCCCCTTGTGCGCGCCGCCAAGCAGGTCTCAGGAGGGGAAAGGAAAAAACACACAGACACAGTGAATCGCCGAGCCCCAGGAAAATATGGGACGTGGGAGGGAAACCGAAAACCTAGGAAATACGGGAAAATACGGGGACGAGCGCGTCTGTCTGAAGTCCAGGCTGCAGCCCCCGCCGAGCCCCCGCCGAGCCCTTCGGGCGGTGGCCAGGTACGCCAAGTCCCTGCTGCAGATGCTGCCCCAGGAGTGCCGGCAGCTGCTGCTGGACTCGCCGAGGCCTCCCCGCCAGGGGCCTTGCCCCCCCCCCCCCCTCTTCGGCTTCCCTCGGACGTGTGCGCTTTTCAGGACCATCGAGGAGCATCCCGAATCATCTGGCCAAGAGCCCACGCACGAGACCGGCAAGTGCACAGGGGATGGAGGGCGTCCGAGCGATGGCGAGCCCTCGGGGGCAACGAAGGGGGGGGGATATGTAGGCCCGGGGGGCCACGCTTCGGGTTCGAGGTTCGAGGTTTTCGGGCGTTTAGTATTATTCCTCTCAGCTTCTTCTTTCTCCTCCTCCTCCTCCTCGTCCTCGTCCTCGTCCTCCTCCTCCTCCTCCTCCTCCTCCTCCTCCTCCTCCTCCTCCTTGTGGGTCCCCGGCGGCTCTGCAGCCTCGGGAGGCGCGCCAGCGGCTGCGCCTCGCCGAGGGGCGCCCCGGGGCCGTCCTGATCGTCCGGCACGGCCGCCGGAGCGCCGAGGTGTGGCCCGAGAATGAAAAAATGGCAGCGTGAAAGTGGAAAAGCCCATGCCTAGAAACGCCCTGCTTGCCTCCAGGGTGCCCTGGGTGTCTTGGGCTTCGATGGCTCTGCCATGGAAAAAGCGTGACGCTCCCACACCCAAAAAGTCAGTGGGCGTCCTGGGGTCTCGGGGTTGGATTTCTTGTGGAAGGTCTCCTGTGGTCGGGCTCCTACTGTAAGGGGAAGTTGGCTCAGGCTGGCATGCATCGACCCCCATCAGGAGGGGAAAAAACACACAGACACAATGAATCGTCGATTCCCCAGAAAATATGGGAAAACATGGGAAGTGGGGGGGAAGACAAAAACCCAGAAAATATAGGAAAATATGGGGAACATCTTTACTTGTGTGTATTCATTTGTGTGTCCTGGTGCCCCTTCACCCCAATCGCCCACTCATCGCCGTTGGGGCCCCGGTAGCCCACCCCACCCCGGAGAGCCTGCGGACTCGCTGCGCTGGGGGCGCACCGCCGATCCATCGGCGATGCATCGCCGATTCCAGCTCGACGTCTCCCCCCCCCCCCCTGGAGCGATGTCTCCCCCTGCGGACTCGCTGCTGGGGGCTCACCGCCGATCTATGGGCGATGCATCGCCGATTCCAGCTCGATGATTTCCCCGCCTAGAGCGGTGTCTCCCCCCCCCCCTAGAGCTGGCCTGAAATCGGGGATCCTGTACAGGAGGAATATTCCAGAATGGTAAGAAAATAGTTTTGGGGCCGGTTTTTCGTGTCCTCTGGACTATTTCTGATTTTTTGTTGACCATTTTGTGCTTCTTCCCAACTCCGCCTGTAGTAGGACTTTTTTTTCTGGTTAACCCAAACATGGGGTCCAGCGAAAAGGGGGCGGTGCAATAGATTTGGTGCAATGAACTTGTGGGGCTGCAATAGATTTGGGATGTACACTACACTCTGGGGCGCAAGTGTATTGCTGGATCTTCGCGCGCAATGCATTCGTTGCAGTACGATTTCCCTGGCGCAGTACATGTGCAATACAATTGCCCCAAATCTAATGCACCACCCACTTTCAGTTGGCCCCCCTTCGGGGAATGGGAGCAGTTTGCAAGACATCCTTGAGCAGTCGCCCGACGCGCGCAGTTTCTCATGCGAGGCCAAGGCCTCGCCCGCCTCGCCCTGAGAGGGGCCCCCGGCGCATGCCCGCACAGGCGCTCCGCTCCGTTCCGCTCCGCTCTCTTCAGTTGGACCCCCTTTGGGGTCACGAGGCATCTTCGCCCCCTCCCCCCCCCCCTTTCGAGGGATCACGAACGAACAACACACACCCATACCCATAGGGGGGTCGTTGGGAGGAGGACTGGCTATGGGTATTGGTGCGGGTTGTCGGACCCTGGGGGACGCTCCCGTTCGAGCGAGGACCCCATTCGACAACACGCACCCGTAGCCCTCTCCGACCCCCCTGTGGGTGTGTGGGTGTGTGTGTGTGTGTTGGTTCGTCAAGGCAGGGGCGAGGCTCCGCCGCCAGCCGACTCCCGCGCCCAGCGGCCGGGCACCACGACGGGAGGCCTCTCTCCGCCTGCGGCCTCTGGGGGGCCCCCACCTGGCACCCTCGCGCAGCGACAAGGGCTCCTCCAAGGAGGAGGAGGAGGAGGAGGAGGAGGAGGAGGAGGAGGAGGAGGAGGACGGGGATGGCGACGGAAGGCTTCTCTCCATCTTCGGCCTCCAGGGGCTCTCGCTGAGCCTCGGGGCCGTCAGAAAACGACTCTCTGGACGAGAAGCTGGTCCCCAGGGGAGGGGCCCATACATACCTCTGAGGATCCACCTCCAGGCCTCTCACACGGGGTCAGAGCAGATGGGGTCGAGGGATCGCGCCGCACCGCCGACGCATCGGCGATACGGCCCGATGTGGAGCCCGATGCTCTCCACACCGACCCCGCCTACTCGGCCTCAACTTCGGAGGCCTCTACCCATGGCGTGGAAAAATCGCGTCGGCGGGCTTCCGGGTCCGCGGCCTCGCGCTGCGCGCGTCGCTCTGGCGCCCTGGGCGTTCTGCGGGGCGGACGGGCGGAGGCCCCAAGAGCAGGCCACCGCCAGCCTGCCCCTCGCTCCTGCCGGTCTGGTCCCTGTCACGACGGGAGGCTTCCGCCTCCTCCCCCCTCCTCCTCCTCCTCCTCCTCCTCCTCCTCCTCCTCCTCCTCCTCCTCCTCCTCCTCGTCCAGTTCCTCCTCGTCCAGCTCCTCCTCCTCCTCCTCTTCCTCCTCCTCCTCCGCCTCCTCCTCCTCCTCCTCCTCCTCCTCCTCCTCCTCCTCCCCCTCCTCCTCGCTCCTGCCGGTCTGGTCCCCGTCTCGGCGGAAGAGGGGCGGGCCTGGCTTCGACAGCCAAGGCTGGACCGAGTCCACCCTGTCTTGGGGGGAGGGGGGTGGGCCTGGGGTGGGGGGGCTCGGCCGCTGCGGGTGCCGCAGGAGGTTCATCGTGGATGATAGACTGCTGCTGGTGATGGTGACGACGATGGTGATGGTGACGGTGATGGTGATGGTGATGGTTGTGATGGTGGTGTTGATGTTACTGCTGATGATGACGACGATGTTGGCGATGACGATGACGATGATGATGACGATGTCGATGACGATGACGATGCCGACGACGGTGGCGACGACGACGACGATGATGATGATGCTGCTGCTGATGATGATGATGATGATGATGATGATGATGATGATAATGATGACGAGGAGGAGGAGGAGGAGGAGGAGGAGGGGGAGGATGATAATGATGGTGATTATGATGGTGATGGTGATGATGCCGATTAAGATGCTGATGATGCTGCTGATGATGATGAGGATGACGACGACGATGATGATGATGATGGTGATGATGAATTTGATGAATTTGATGATGGTGATGATGTTGACGATGACGACGACGAGAATGATGTTGATTTGGATGCTGATTCTGATGATGATGATGGCCTTTGCTGCTGCTGATGATGACGATTGCGATGATAATGGTGGTGGTGATGATGACGACGATGATGATGATGATGCCGATGATGATGATGATGATGATGATGATGATGATGATGATGATGATGATGATGATGATGATGATGATGATGCTGATGATGATGATGATGATGATGATGATGATGATGATGATGTCCATGCAGATTTTTCAGCTCATGTTTATGCTGATGACGACGCCGATGATAATGAGGACGGGGATGCTGCTGCTGATGATGATGCTGATGATGATGGTGATGGTAATGGTGATGGTAAAGGTGGTGGTGGTGATCATGATGATGATGCTGGTGGTGGTGATGATGATGATGCTGATGTTGCTGCTGCTGATGCTGCTGATGATGATGATGATGATGATGATGTTAATGACGATGACGACGGCCACGACGACGTTGGTGTTGATGATGCCGATGATAATGACGATGATGATGAGGATGATGATGATGATGGGCTTGAGGACGAGGATAAGGATTCGGATGAGGATGAGTATGATGATGATGCTGTTGCTGATGATGATTCAGATGATGATGATGATGATGATGATGATGATGATGATGAGTCTGATGAGTCTGATGAGTATGTTGATGATGATGATGATGATGCTGATGATGATGATGATGATTTGGATTATCATCATGATGATGCAGATGATGATGAAGGAGGAGGAGGAGGAGGGGGAGGAGGGGAACTAGAAGGAGGAGGAGGGGGAGGAGGAGGATGATGCTGATGATTATAATGCTGCTGCTGTTTATGATGAGGATGAGGATGAGGGTGAGGATTATGATTATGATGATGATGATGATGCTGATGCTGATGCTGATGCTGCTGCTGATGATAATGATGCTGCTGCTGATGATGATGGTGATGATGACGATGATGATGATGATGATGATGATGATGATGATGATGATGATGATGATGATGATGAGTATTACGATCATGCTGATGATGCTGATGATGATGACGAAGAGATGATGACGATGACGTTGTTGATGATTATCATGATGATGATGATGATGATGATGATGATGATGATGATGATGATGATGATGATGATGATGGCGGTGGTGGTGGCGGTTGTGGTGGTGGTGATGTGAGGATGATCTTGCGGATGTTGATGTCGGCCCGCGATGCTCGGTGCGGCGTTTGCTTCGGCGATGCTCGCCAGAGCCACACCGCTCGAGGGCCTCACGGTCACATGAGCGACTTGGAAAAGAGAGCTTGTTTTATGGCTTGGGCGACTTCGGGCGTTACTGGGAGTGGGGCGGGGGGCCGGTAATGTCACGTTTTGCGCCAGCGCCGTCTGGGACTGTCCAGGAATAAGCACAGTCAGTGCGGATGTCAGCACGATTCGTGACTTTACCTGGGGGGGGGGAGGGGGGCGGCGCTCGGGCGGGTAACGGCCGCTATCGCGAAAAATCAAGAACCCTCCCAAGGCGGGGTCGTCGGCACGGGCGTTGGCGCGCAAGCTGCCCGCGTGAGGTCGCGCGTGAGCATCATCGTTTCTGATGTGGCGTGCCGCGCCGGCGTCCCGCGTCAGCCACCGCGTAAGGTCGCAATGCCATCTCGCGTAAGACCCGGTTCTCTTCGTCGCTCACGCGCCATTCAGATGCTCGTTTTGGGGACCTTCCTTGAGCTTACTTGGCGGATCTGTTCGACTCTGGTGACGACTCCAGCTCGACTCAGGCTTGTCTTCAGCTCGACTCAAGGTCGGCTCAAGTTCGACCCAGAGCCGACTCAAGTCGACGGACGTTCGACGCGGCATCGCCGCATGTCTTCAGCGAGCGGGTCCACGAAGGCTCCCACGACGAGCACCCAAGGCCACGGGCGGTCGCCGCCGAGGGTGAGCTCAGCGACTGAGCTCGGGCCCGCAGGCAAGTCTGTAGCCTGGGTGCCGGCCTCGCGTCCGCACCCGTGCACGCCGTCCGGTCAGAGGGGGGCGTAGGCTTACGTCGGGCCTGTCCCTCTACAGGAGGAATGTCCCAAAAATAGTCAAAAAGTAGTCCGGGGACGATTTGCTCGACTGTTTTTTGTGGCTATTTCTGACAATTTTAGGGGAATTTTCGATCCCTCGTCTAGAATCCTCCTGAAGGGGGATGTGCCCGACCTAAGCGTAGACTTACCAGCCTGGAACGTATCCCTATCCCTATGCTGGGCACCTCTTCGTCACGATGTCAATCTCAGGGATTCCCTCATTTTTTGAGGGCGAACCCCTAAGACTGTCATCGCCTTTTGGCGTGTCAATCT